GTAGTCCTGTCAGGTGGAGACACTGACAAGATGCAGTCTTCTGAACACTTTGAGTGGAAATTTGAGAATGTTTTGGATGCGGCTCTCACCACCCAAATGCAAATTGTTGCTCCAGGATTGGACTTCAACCGTGCCTCGGCTAACAGAGTGTAGCGGTTGTGTCGACCACTTCACTTACCTGGGAAATAGGATCGGCCCTGGTGGCTGGCTCAGTGGCCGATGAAATCTCTACACAGATACAAGAGGCTCGGTTGGCTTTCGCCAACTTACACTACTTATGGTGCCGCCGTGATATCCGATTGTCTATTAAGCGTCGTGTATACTTCACAGCAGTCCGGTCTGTTCTACTGTATGGCTGTGAAACATGGCCATTGAAGATGGAAGACATGAGAAGACTTCTAGTGTTTGACCACCGTCGCCTTCGTAGTATAAGCCGTATCCCGTGGTATCACCACGTAACGCAAACGTCAGACGTAGTTTTAGGGAGAAAAGGCAAATCAATTGACACGGCTGTGAACCTTCATCATCTGAGATGGTTAGAACACGTGTTATGTATGCCTAGTCGCGGATTGCCTCGTCCCAAAATGTTGGCTGAAGTAGGTTCAGGCTGGAAAAAGGCCTGAGGCGGGTAGACCGAAACACTGCACCAATGTTTGAAGTCTTTGACTGTTAGTTTAAGCCATGTGGGGCGATGCGGACTAGGTGGTTGGGGTCGGCGGGACAAGAGAAACCAGTGGTTGGAGCATGACTCTAGGTGATATGGCTCAAAACCGATGTCAGTGGCGCAGATGTATACATACATTATCCTCATCTTGACGCTATACCGAATCTCACCATTTTCTCATTCTTCCCTTCTCTCTTTTAGTACTTTATATTTCTTTTGACTGAATTTCTTATCTTCATCTTCCACTTCACTACCTTTTTACTTGATGCACTGATATAAGGTGTGGCAACTTGGACCGTTACGCAGTGATGCCTGGTCCTATGTTGATTTAGATGGATGGATGATTCCTCAATCTCATACTGACAGCCCTTGAAACCTTTTCACATGGTTGTGGTACTTCAGCAGTGGAACCAAAGGCTTTTTTGAAGTTTTTTTTGAAATAATCCAATCAAAATAGCTGTTGAATCACCATTATTAGTCTCATTGCTGGGTTTCGAGTGACAGGTGATTTGTACCTCGGGGACTTAAATCTCACTCTTAGAGTTTCTCTTTCGATGAGTTCGTCTGTTGCGAATCAACTTGGGAATCAACAGGTACCCTCCCAAGACAGACGTATAGAATGTTAGACGTAACAATATAAAACACAGTTCGACTGGTCCACACCAACACTTCAGTTGCCTAACATCCAACCCCAACCTGAATGGGACGTTGATGGGGTTCTCCAACTTTCTTGAAGTTGAGAGAGGTGTTTCGAAAAGGAAACGATGGGAAGCTACAGGACCTGACAGTTTTTCGTCTGAAGTTCTCAAGTACGAATTTAGGAAATTGCTGCTTAAAGTGACGAAGGTACTATGTGTAGTGTATGGGAACCAAAGGTAGTACCGTCACACTGGTTTACTTACTCTCATCATCCGAGTGTATAACAGGAGAAAGAAGTCTTTCTGTGATAACCATAGGGGAGTTAATTTGACTGATATTGTATCCAAAATCCTAGGATCCATACTATCCAACGCCTGACTGCAGCTCCAGAACAACAAACTCGAGGGAACTAGGCAGGTTTCAGACCTGGAAGAGGGTGCATCGATCATACTTTTACCCTTCGACAGGTTCTGAAACATAGGCATACTTATCGGCGGTTGACACTTGCCTTATTTCCTGACCTGAAGGCAGCATTTGACTGTCGATTGTACAGTTTTACGGCAGTGTCTGACGGTGAAGGAAGTACTGAGAAAGTATATAGGGGTTATCAAAGCTGTTGACTCGAACTCACGTAGCTGTGTAAGGGCTTTTGGAGAGTTGTCATTTGAATTGACGACAATACCAGTTGTGTCCACCAAGGATGTTTGTCTGTTCTCACGCAGTAATGGACATAACCCTAGGTACCACCGATTTCCCAGACAATAATTTAAGAGGAACCAAATGCGCTTATTCATCTAAATTATTCGGTCAATCTGTGAAATGAATCCCTCTACTTTCTGAAGACTACCACACTAGTTCTTGCGATCTCATAAGAGTAAGTATAGTGTTTTCGTGAGGCAGAAAGTAAACTGCCCGACTAGATTTGTTGAAAGTCGCTTATGAGCTGTTCCACTGCTTTTTGCAGTGAAGACTGAAACTCATCATTCTCCATTTACAACCGTTGTCTATCCACCCACTGATTGCAGTTTGGATGAAAAGAGTTCGACCTAAAGCTTGCTTGCTTCCTACTGAAAGCCGAATGTTCAGATTTGTTTAACGTAGCAGGTGATTTCAATGCAAAAGAAAGAAGGCTGTCAGAGAGACACGTAGATGACACTTGGAACGCATAACGGCAACCGCCTACTACAGCTGTGCTCAGACAACACCTACTTCACTGGTACGAACTCAAGATATGAAGAGTGAAGTGGCACCTCCCGAACTCAACTCAAAGACGAACACAAACAGACCATATTGCTGAGTCATTGTTGGAGAGGTTTAGTACGGAATCGCTGCTTCTTTGGAACTCGTACTAGAACAATGATCACGCGGTAGCTCGAGTACGTGTATTTTCGCGTCTAAATAGAAGTAGAAAACTATGACCACAAAACCGTTCGAAAGCCAGCTGCATGATGACTAGTCATGATAACTGGCTTTACTCGCCATTTACATGGCGTCTTGCAATAACAGCCAGTACTTGTTTACACTTTCTGGAGGATCGGTAGCTAGCCCTAAATGTACCTTGGATTGATATTAAGCTGCAATGTTATGTTAGGTGCAATTAATTTGTTTGCATCGACCTGTTTAAGACGATGGTTTTGATGACAATTAAAATACCAAAACCCAAGACGAGGTCAGCACACACTTAACTATGATCAGAGTCCAGACAAATACTCCATATGGAGTGACATTCCTGCATCCATCCACGCCAACGGTAGCTGATTGCAATGCGATCTATTTAGGTCCAGCTTTGAGTGGCAGACAGAGGTTACAAAGCAGCACAACGGTGATGGCTAGAATTAGGTTGTGATCTGTGTGAAACTGTAGAAGACGGTCCCCCATTATCCGACGTGCAGCTAATTGCTCCCCACTGGTCACCTAAACGACTTTCCTCAGACCCCAGACCTGCCCATTCAAGTCCTCAGCTAGCCCTAAGATGTCTATCGAGTGCACTTGGATTAGAAAGTCACCGATTTGATGAGAGAATTCATCTTTGGTTGCATCCAGGCTACAATCTATCGGAGAACGAGTAGAGATGACAAAGAGAAATAGTCCCTCCTGTTGGTAACGTCTTACTCGATATGAACCTTCTAGCCTAACAACACACTGACGACTGCTGATGGGGATCCAGTTAACTAGTGCAGCTTCGGTTCGAGCGCTAAGTGAGACACTAACACTAGTTGCCTTCAGTTCAGATGACAACTCTCCAAAAGCCCTTACACAGCTACGTGAGTTCGAGTCAACAGCTTTGATAACCCCTATATACTTTCTCAGTACTTCCTTCACCGTCAGACACTGCCGTAAAACTGTACAATCGACAGTCAAATGCTGCCTTCAGGTCAGGAAATAAGGCAAGTGTCAACCGCCGATAAGTATGCCTATGTTTCAGAACCTGTCGAAGGGTAAAAGTATGATCGATGCACCCTCTTCCAGGTCTGAAACCTGCCTAGTTCCCTCGAGTTTGTTGTTCTGGAGCTGCAGTCAGGCGTTGGATAGTATGGATCCTAGGATTTTGGATACAATATCAGTCAAATTAACTCCCCTATGGTTATCACAGAAATACGTTTCTTCCTTCTCATCGATTGTGATGATTAGTGAAGTGTGCCAATCTTACGGGATCGGCTCTTATTCCATGAAATATCTAGTACCTCCCTAGCCATAGTCAGTTATTCACGACCGCAATCCTAAAATTTCTAGCGCTAAAGCGTCAGGTCCATCTGCTTTTCATATTTTTAGGTTAATAACAGGCTTTTCAACTTCATGGATTGATTGATGATCGATATCTTATCTTCCATTCAAGTTCAAACTGGTTATTGTTCAACTAAAGCCTTGCTGTTTGCTAAGGTTTTTTGGTTTGGGGGGTTGACCTTCAAGGGTTCGAGCACCGCTCCACCTACCGATATTTGGGAAGCCAGGTAATATCATTAGCCGTCACATTGTGTGACTCCATTACCTACTACACGAATGTGCACAAGATTGCTAAATACATTTCTCTCTTCCTTTATTCACCATCTGAACTAGGCATCATAGTGTTCCGTCCAACGTCCTTAATACCTGTCCTGAGAAGTTTCCAAGGTCCCATCCTTCCTGGTGATAGTTTCAGTGACCATCGTCTTCATCTTACCAGTATTTTTAATAAGCCTAATCAATTACTGAGTATTACTTGTTGCTGATACCTTTCTCACCACTTTCGCCACCCACTTCTTTTCACGGTCATTGCGTAGACTCCTAATCGATTTACTTGTGAGTTATCTTAGCTTGTCATCATGATAAGAGCCAAGCAGAATGAATTTTCTCTCTTGAATCTGCTCGGGTGTATAAATATGGTAGGTAAGGAGCCCGTCAACGATATTGTTGTATAAATTGACTATGCTCTGTTAGGTGATTGTGTTTTTTTACATATTAATTTGTGTGGTGTACGATTTTAAATGGTGTATCCATCTTTATCATATATAAAGTCATCGATGGTGGTACAGGAACATTATTGAACGGTTGCATATGGCATTCCATGCAAGGATAACTTTCTTACGGTACTTGTGCTTTTGCAAATGTTATATTTTAGTTAATTAACTCACCTTATTTGTTTGTTTTTCCGACCTCTTTCGTTCACTGATTTTATGCGTTTTGATTTTCTATTGGGTAGGATTAAGTGCAATTAAAGATGGATCCCATACTTACACCAGAAATGATACATATTGGTTCACGCCATTATAGAAAAAATGCATCAAAACATTGTTTTGTTCAGACGTTTCCTGCATCTATTAGTCAAATTGAAGAAAATTCAGATGCTGAAGAAGCTGATGTCGACGAAACAGATCCAGAAATTCTAGAGTTAAGTAAAAATATAATCGTGTCTGATAATGGATATACTGCAACAATCAACGTCCCATCCATGTTCCATAAGTTCATCATAGGTGTTCAGCACTCAAAAAGAAAACTTTTGGAAGATGAATTTCGATGTAACATTGAAATTCCACAATCGGGTTCTAGTTCTTCAAAAATCTTTATTACTGGACCTTCAAGATTTAATGTTTTAAGTGCTTGTCGCCGTATGCTCTGGATAGTATCTGATGCTCGTAGTCGTTGTCAGCCAACTCATTTCATATGTTTACCAGTTACGTGTCAAACTGTAAAGGATAATTTTCAAAAATTCCGACAATCTATATTGAAGGCTGCTAGTAAATCTGCTGCTCAAGATTTTATGGGAGTAGATAGTTCTGTTTTTCATTCGGTATCCACATTGCATTTCACTTTGGTAACACTTATTTTGGCTGATGAGTCTGAGATTGAACAAGCTTATGATACACTAAGAATGTTTTGCAGATCCGATAAAGGTCTTCAACTGTTTGCTTCTGGTCCTCTCAATTTAACTCTAAGGGGCCTTGAGTATATGAATGATGATCCTGCCTCCGTACATGTGCTCTACGCGAAGGTAAGCGCATTTTTGATTATTTTTGCATCAGTAAATATATTTTTGGAATTTAGATTTGTTCAAAAAAACAAGTGTAAGAGTTTACTGTTTTGCATTCTCACATTCCATGTTTGTACAGCTTTGCTAGTTAGCACTCATTTATATTTGATGAAAGCACGAAAATGAACGAATTCCTTTCTGATTGCTTGACGTAACTCTCTCCAGCTACGATGTTGGTTGATGTCTTCAAAATATAAAAATATTTTTGACACTCGATACATCTTACTGATGAAACATAAGAAAACGTGATTTTCAAACAATTGAAGTTATGACAGGTTTTAAACCATGATAATCGGGATTTCAAGATGATGGATCCTAATGTATCAAGAAGCCAAGCAAAGAATTTACTTATAGGTTGGAAATCTGTCTTGTGAACCAGTACTGCATCATTTGAGCACTCGTGATCTTTTCCCACCTTAATCCAACTGTAATCACCATTCTACGCTGAAGTACGTGATGATGTGTAGCACAGGTAAACCATATCCCAGCCATTTCCGTGAGTGCGATTTCACAAACCAATTTACTTTTCCGTCTAAAACTTTACGTTTGTCTCTATGATTCCCCGCTTAGGGATTCTAACTCGTCAGTATCAGTTTGAAGATCTGCAACTCTAGTTTCCACCTTCGGCGACTATATCTAAACTATAGACGGGAATAGGATGAACTACTGCCCAATGTTTTCTTCCCTTGATAGGCAGTCAAATACCTTGTCAGCAGCTAAAGATAGCGTTAATTGGCTAACTGTAAGATGGTTTTCGAATCTGCAATAAGATTTCAACAGCGGGTGCACAGCTCGCTAAACAAGTGGGGTGACCTGCGGACAAACAGCCGGATAAGATTAACGTAGAACCTCACACAAAAGTGCATCGAACCAAGTTACCCCTTTATATAGCAACATGCACGGAAGAAGTCTGTTAAAAAAAAAACAGACATGTGTGTATATGTTTTAAGGTTAATGAATTACTCAGGACTTAAACATTGACAGAGTGTATGCATCTGCACCATAATGAGTAGCTGGCTGTGTAGACCAGTACTAAGTAATCTCATATTTGACAGATGTGAGACGAAAAAAGTAGATCTTTTATAATGTTCGATAAGTTCTACATTTTATTCTTCTCTCCAGGTGACAAGGGCATTTAATCTGCCTTTTTTTAAATCAGTCAGATAATGAATACATCAGAAGTCAAGATGTTAACATCCTTCATCACTTGGATGGGAGTGTTGATACTAGACATTCTTGAAGGATAATACTTATTGTTATGATCGTCTTTTTCGTTTCATACCTTTGAGTGGTTGTGAGTAAACAGCATGCGATTTTGCTTGGCCTTTCTTTAAAATTGAATACTGCTGCAAAAAATTCCAGTCGACGAAATAAGATCACGCTTTCAGGTGAAGGAAAATGGCCAGTTACCCTGTGTTCTAGAACTTAACGCAGAGTGAAGGTTTGATCTTCACACCCTCTTCCAGATTATGAATTTACACGGTTTACCCGGGTTCGTTGTACATCACCTCCAGATGTGCGATAATAGAAATTGAAGATTTAGTATACTGTTTATCAGAGAGATAAAACAATTTGTGACCCTAAGTTTTCAGGTGTGGAGGTAGTAAATTGCCGATTAGAGTAAACCTTACTAGGTATTGTATGGGAATCATAGGTAGTACCGTCACATTGGTCTACTTCACTGATCATCACAGTCTATAAGAAGAGAAAGAAGTCTCTCTGTGATAACCATAGGGGAATTAGTTTGACTGATATTGTGTCCAAGATCCTATGGTCCATAATTATCTGACGCCTAACTAGAGCTGAAAAGCAAATTTGAGGGAACGATGAAGTTTTCAGACCTGGGCGAGGTTGCATCACTAAATTTTCACCTCAAGAGATTTTGCAACACAGGGATGCTTACCGGTGGCCGAACGTCCCATATTTCTTGACCTAAAGGTTGCATTTGACTCCAAGCCGTAAAGTACTGTGGCGGTGTCTGACTGTGAATTGAGTACCGAGCACTCAATGGTTATCAAAGCTGTCTACTGGAACTCAATTAGCAATGTAAGGGCTTATGAAGAGTTGTCATGTAAATTGACGACAACTAGTGGTGTTCGCCAGGGATGTCCACTGTCACTGTTCCTCTTTAACTTCATCATAGACGCACTATTGGAAATGACCTTAGGAACGTCTAACTCCTCAAGAATCGACCTACTACCTGAAGGTCATCTAGTTCACTTGGAGTATGTTGGTGAAAATGCTGATTCAATGCAGGGTCTTCTGAACGCGTTGAGCAGACATCTTAGTATGTTTACCATGCGTCTCGCACCTGTCAAATACAAGATGATGCTTCAGGATTGGTCTGAAAGTACTCCCAGTTTAATTATAGAGGGTGAATTGGTGGAATGTGTTGACCACTTCGCTTACTTGAGAAGTTGCATCACTCTGAACGAAGTAGTTGCTGACAATTCTAGCTCAAACGTAGCATATCCATTTGGTATTTGCCAACTTGCGTCATCTATGGTGCCGACTGTCGAGATATATCTATCAGTGAAGGGATGAGTATACTGAGCTGCAGTCCCTTCTGTCCTGCTATACGGCTGTGAGACAGCCGATGAAAGTAGAAGATATGAAACGGCCACAGGTGACGGGTGTCTTCATAGAATTTCTGGGTTTGGTGGAATCACCGTATGTGTGTGTTGAGGGCAGGTAAAGGGTACTTGATAGGGCATGCAAGTCGATTGATGCAGTTGTGAATCTTTATGGGCTGAGGTGGTTGAATATATGTTGCGCATACCGAACCACCGTCTACCTTGACGTGGCATGCCAAAGTAGGTTGGATTAGGTTTGAAGGGGGTTGAGGTTGACCAGACTAAGACGTGCCACGAGTTGGTGAAGTCCTTGACTGTCGATATGAGCCTTATGGGGAGATGTACACTAGCTGCCTGGTTGAGGTCCCCAAGACGAAAAGATTCAGTGGTTGGGGGCTCTTAGTGGCATAGCTGAGAATCGGTCACGATGGCTCTTTAATGTCTTCTGAAGCTTGAATATTTGCACTAATCTTTATCTTCAGATTGTTTATTCTCCCACACAACTTTGCCTATTTTAATGTCACTTTTTATCCACCTGTTCTCTGTGTGCTAGAGTGGCAACGTGAACGGCTACACTTGTGTGAAAGGTTCTACTTTGATTTTGCTAGTCAGTCAGTCTATCTGTCTCATCCTTTGTTGCCCTCTTTTGTTGACTTCTTGCCACTTCCTTTCTTCATTCTTTGTTCCTCGATCTTTTATCTAAGTGCATTCTGACTTGGTTTGCTGGCATGTGGTTCAGCAATTCGGGTCGTTACGCGGCAGTTTGCAGGTCCTATGTTAATGTTTTCTCTCTCTGTCTGTCTGTATGGTATTACATTTCACACAGTGAAGAATACAAAGCCCTCATTGCATCTTCCTAAATCGATAAATCGCTGTGTAACGGATTTCTTACTCAATCGTTCAATTTATTCCCTTTTATCGTCTTTACTCTTACTTTGTATTAAGATGTGCTTTCGTTAATATTTTAAGTTTATCTTCGCTTATTTCTTCGTTTGGCTCATGTAAACGGGCAAAATCACCTTATAAACTCTCACACAAGTGCTTCGGTTCACGTTGCCACACTTCATAGTACTATGAAAAGATACAGTTGGATAAAAAAGACCGGTATCAAAGTAGAGGAACGTGTATTGCAGGAGGGGGTGGGGGGTAAATTCAAGGTTAGTGGAATCGGTCAAGCTTTAGAAGATATCGAAAAGTGAATACATCTTCGCTATTGTAACCGATTTTCAGACATTTCACTAAGAGTCTTCAACCACTGATTCCTATCGTCTCAAGTACCCTAATCAGGTAGTCTATACCTTTTTACGCCACTCGGACTAAAAGTCTGAGATTTCATTCACTGGTTCCACGTCTAAGTCTGGCTACCCTGAATCTCTTTCAACTTAATCCAACTTCCCATAGCATGGAATGTTGAGGTAGGTTGTGGCTCGGAGTGCACAGTACATGTCCAAGATATCCTCAGTCGACTTAGGTTCACAACTCTTCATTTTGACGGTATAATGCGTATATCGTACTTACAGAAGCTGAAAGCCAACTGATAAAGTGTGGTTTCAGTAGCTTATATATTGTAAAATATTATCGTCCACATACTCTAGGAATCAAAATACATTTGAACGATAGGTTCTACATTGACGTCTTGGTTGGACTTGAGTGTTACAGTCATCCGACCAGATGTATGGATAGAAACGTTTGTTCCTTAAGATCCTACAGTAACAAAAAAGCCATTTGAATATTGATAAGGAACACCCTAAATACCTTCAAGATGCCTTTACGACTCACTCAACTTCCCTACTTGAACTTTGAAGTCGCTTGCCATTATGACTATACCTGAAAGTTTTCATTCAATATTGGCAGTCCTTGACAGAAGTGATTCCTCGCATAATTCGTTTTGCCTCTCGAAGCAACTTCGGAATATTATTATTATTATTTCCTATTATTTTTCCATTGGGTCCTAATGGAACATAGGGCTTCAGTAGCACGCCTCCATTGCACTCTCTCCTCTGCAGTCTTTTCAACCTGGCGCCACAACTGCCCACAAGCTTTCATTTATTCCTCACAAGATCTCCTCCATGTCACCCTAGCCTCGGACGCCCAACACGTCGTTTCCCCTTTAGATTCCACTCGAGGGCCTGGCCTGGCGCGTGATGTCTCCAGTCAGCCTTCTCAGTGTATGCCCAATCCATCTCCACTTCCTTCTGCATATTTGTTGGGCGATGGATTCTTGTTTGGTTCGTTGCCACTCAGCTAGAGTTCCTTGTTGCTTATTCTTATTATTCTGGCCATCTGATCTTCATTGTCAGTATCAAGTGAGCTTAGGCGGCAGCTGTTGATGATTGTCTGTAGTTTGTTGGAAATGCTTTTCGTAACGCGCCAAGTTTCTGAACTATA